GGAAATAGCAGTGACACGTTACTGGAAACAACCCCAAAAGGGGGATGGAGCTGCAGGGTGGGGCCGGGAGCAGGGCAGGGTGCCCACTTGGGATTGGGGCTGTGCCCTCGGGAGATCACATGCCCAGAGAGCCCCGGGGGCAGCTCAGCCCCCGGGGGGGAGTGTGTCCCATGTCCTCGGGCTCCTGGTGACTCATGTGCCACTGTCACCACCCCGTGTCCCCGCTCCCCTCACACTCAGCCCCGGGGCTTCTTGTGGATCATGGGAGGAACAGTCTTGGCAGCAGCCAGGGAATGGCTCCTCCTTGGGAATGTTTGGCAGGGCCTGAAAACCGGGGGGGGGGATACAACTGGGGGGAGTGGGATAAAAACAGAGGGATGGTGACATAAAATAGGAGGAGAGGGATAAAAGCAGGGCTGACAAAAAATGGGATACAGCTGGAGGGAAGATGGGATGTAACTGGGAATGGCAGGATAAAACCAGGGGGATGACGGGATAAAACTGGGGTGACAGTGGGGTAACACCAGGGGAGAGGGGGATGATGGAAGCCAACAGTGCCCCCTCCCTCCTCACAGCTTCCCAAATCCTTCCCATCTCCAGGCCCTGCTCTGACACCTCCTCATGGTGCTGAATGAACAAGGAAAAGGCAGATGGTTCCAGTACAGCCCCGGGAAGTGCAGAGCCATCCTCTCCCTCCTCTCCCAGCCCAACAGCTTCAGCCCCAGTTAAGACCATCCCCAAAACCACAGGAAAACCAGCTGTGAGCAACTCCAACCCAAGATCCAATAGCTCATTCCCTTCCTGAGGAAAGGAATGTGGCAGGGACTCAGCAGAGTGGGATTCATCCCAAATCCCTCCTCTGAACATCTGTCTCTGGAATGAGTGTCCTGGGCTCTGAGGGCAGCCACCACCCCTCAGCTGGTGACAAACAGGCAGAGCCTCGTCCCCAATCCAGGCACCCCCTCGGTTCCCAAATCCTTTATTTGCCGGCGGGCTTTCCATACAAAACCAACAAATCTGGCAAAAAGGAGCTCGGAAAAGCTGCCAGGGAGAGAGAAAGGGGAGGAGGTGGAGGGAAAGTGAGGAAAACCAACAACACTATAAAAAAAACCAGGAGGGGAAAGTGGAAGGGGCAAGGACGGAGGGGAGGGACACCCCCAGTCCCCCCCAGGAGTGGGAATGTTGGTCCGAGGGGGCCGGGAAGGCCGAGGACGGACACAGAGGGTCCCGAGTGGGGTGGGGGGGCTGCCCCCCCTC